GATGATTTGATTTGCCTTCCTTCAACCACGGGTGGAAGAAAACAAAATCACTTCATTCCCCCGTCAGCACAGTCAACACAGTCAGGAAGCCGCTAGCAGTAATCGCATTTTAAAAAATCCGACAGACTAGTTATACCCTAGTTGATCAATGCAGCGACTTGGGTACAATCAGCCTGCCCAAGCATGGATGTATTCTTGGATGGTTCATCAGGGTCTGGCCAAATTTCAATCTGTGTATAGTTGGTTTTAGTGAACATTCTTCCCTATAAGAACAGGAGTTTTAAGTCTTGTACTAGCACTGTTTATTATTGATATAATCAGTTCCTGCTCTGTATAGAATGGCTGAATTTTGAAGAATAACCTAATCCAAGTTAATCTGATGCCACCATAACACTACACTGGTTGTATCCAGGGCCAAGAGAAATAAGCCATGCTTCTAAAGACTACTGAATCTAAATATATCCAGGCAGAGTTTGAATTTTGGCATGGCAACAGATGTACAGTAATACATTTTTGCTAATAATATAAACACATGCTGTTTAAAGTAGCTGTAAACTCTAACTAAATGACATTTAGATTGCTGAAGGACTGTGTATCCCTAGTACCAACTAGTTTTTTATTGCTACTTGGGCCACTGATATTACTTACTCCTGTCTGCTTACACTGGGGCCATGTTGACAGGCATCTTTTTTTTTTTTTTTTTTTACTTTGTTCAGCCACTTAGTCGGCTTACACATGGGACACAAATCAACACACAGATGACTACTCCATTCACTGGACTGTATCCATTATTGATGTGCCTGTGTATTTAGTACCAAATGTGAATTTGCCGATTTTACTTTCTATTATCAGCCACTTAGTCGCTTACACATGGGACACAAATCAACACACAGATGACTACTCCATTCACTGGACTGTATCCATTATTGATGTGCCTGTGTATTTAGTACCAAATGTGAATTTGCCGATTTTACTTTCTATTATCTAGCAACAAGTAACCGCGCTAGGGTCTGCACTTACTTTTCTTTTCTTTTTTTTTAGGTAAAATACTTGTTTTCAACTTTTTTTATCCTTTGTTTAACCACTTGCCCTCCAGAGGATTTACCCCCTTTCCTGACCAGGCCATTCTTTGCGCTGCGTTTCTATAACTGACAATTGCGCGGTCATGCAACGCTTCACCCTAATGAAATTTACGTTCTTTTTTTACCACGAATTGAGCTTTCTTTCGGTGGTATTTGATTGCCTGTGTGTTTTTTATTTTTTGCACTATAAAAAAAAGAATAGATGACCAGAGACTGCGGACAGTACAGGGGATGACCAGAGACTGCGGACACAGTACAGGAGATGACCAGAGACTGCGGACAGTACAGGGGATGACCAGAGACTGCGGACAGTACAGGAGATGACCAGAGACTGCGGACACAGTACAGGAGATGACCAGAGACTGCAGACAGTATAGGAGATGACCAGAGACTGCGGACAGTACAGGGGATGATCAGAGACTGCGGACATAGTACAGGAGATGACCAGAGACTGCAGACGCAGTACAGATGACCAGAGACTGCAGACAGTACAGGAGATGACCAGAGACTGCAGATATAGTACAGGAGATAACCAGAGACTGCGGACACAGTACAGGAGATGACCAGAGACTGTGGACACAGTACAGGGATGACCAGAGACTGCGGACACAGTACAGGGATGACCAGAGACTGCAGACACAGTACAGGAGATGACCAGAGACTGCGGACATAGTACAGGAGATAACCAGAGACTGCGGACACAGTACAGATGACCAGACGGTAAATATGGCTTTTGAGCGAGCACGCACGTGTGGGCACTCGGCAGGGGGTAGGAGCAAGGAGGATCGGGGCTGCTTGTGCAAAAGCATTGCACAGAACAGGTAAGTAAAGTATGACATTATTATTATTTAAAAAAAAAGTGAACCTCTTGTATCACTTTAAGTATCAGCTGTATACATACATGATTGGGGAATGTTGACCATTGCTCAATATGCAATGCATACTAGCATATTATGCCTTTACCTTGTACCAGGAAACCTTTTTTTTCCCGAAGTTTACTACCGCTTTAAGCAACCAGTACCCCACCTCCCCAACACCTCTTCTTTCAACTTCACCCCACCTGGAGCATGAAGACCTGGACAGATGATGTCAAGCTCCACCACTCTACCCACATTCTCAGGTGACCACATACATACTTTGCATATAGGCCGAGGGCTTTTAGGACATGTACTTCTGTGTGCTATGCCTATATCAGTATGATGTGACCAGCAGAAGCCTCCCCCTGGTGGCTGGGCATCACTGTAATTTGATAGATGTGCTCCACTATTCTACCTACGTTCTCAGATGACCACCTACACACATTGAGTATAGACTGAGGGCTTTTATGACATGTAGTTCTGCGAGCCATGGCTATATAAATAGGATGTGACCTAGGGTGACCTGCAGAAGCCTCCCCCTGGTGGCTGGGCATCACTGTGAGTTGATAGATGTGCTCCACTATTCTACCTACGTTCTCAGGTGACCACCTACACACATTGGGTATAGACTGAGGGCTTTTATGACATGTAGTTCTGCGAGCCATGGCTATATAAATAGGATGTGACCTAGGGTGACCTGCAGAAGCCTTCCCCTGGTGGCCAGGCATCACTGTGAGTTGATGGATGTGATGTCATCACAAGGTTAATAGAAGATTTTATGGGCAAAAAAGTGAGGTATTGAAAAAAATATTTTCTAGTGGCAGCTGTACTTGGAGATATGAATGTATGGGGGCATGGTTGTCAAGCAAGTTTCATTGGAATTTGTGCTGCTGGTAATACTAATTTCAGTGGCACACACATGCATGTGTGCTCTGTGTTCTGTTCACGTGTTTCTACTTTGCTTTCTACAGATTCATCAAGAAAGGACTTGGGGGCATGCATGTGCAGGAACAGTAAGTAATAAGCCTGGCACATGCATGCACACTTAATGGGAGGAAGCTCTACTCATTGGCTGAGATAGCAGCGGGAGTCATTGTCTCCTGCTGCCGTCAATCACAGCCAGTGAGCCAATGAGTAGAGAGAGAGGGTGGGGCCAAGCCATGGCTCCTTGTGTGAATGGACACAAGGAGCAGCGGGTGCCCCCATAACAAGCTGTTTTCTGTGCGGGCACCCGACAGAAGGTAGGGGCCAGGAGCCCCGGCAGGAGACCTGAGAAGGGGAGGATCCAGGCTGCTCTGTGAAAAACCACTACACACAGCAGGTAAGCATAGGCATGTTTGTTTGTTTGTTTTTTAATTATGTATGACAGAATCACTTTAAACTGGTTTTAAATGTCTCTACTGGGTAGATTTTTGTATTAGATTTTGAAAGCTGTATTTCCATTAAGAAGCTTTCTCTATTCTTTGAGGGAAATTAATAAAAATAATAATAAATGAATTAATAATGTCTGAGACTAGTTCTATCTCAACTGGCTCTGTTGCCTGTAGCAATAAATTCATTTCTATCTTTCATTTTTTTTCTACATAGCTTAGAAAATTAAAATTTAAAATCTGATTGTCTACGCTTCAGTTGAGATAAAGTTTGTCTCAGACACTTTTTATTAATTCCCACCTTTGTGTTATGCCTGAAAGTAACAGAAAATATGTGTTTATTGCTGCCTCTATATCTGTTGTGGGATTTCTCCTCATTGCTTGCACAGTTGACCAGTTTCAGAGGAAAAACTAAAAAAATTACAGAAAGCCAAGAGGAATCTCTCAAACTGGGCCACAGCCAGACACTTAAAAACAGACAGACGTTCTAACTCTTCAGCATCCCCCTTCCCACCCCCTCTCTTGCTGCACCCATGCACCTTTTTTAATGTGCATACATACCATTTTTCCATGGTTCTTTGATCCAGTCGTGTGATGTCCCTGACTGTATTTCCATGGTGTACAGGTCCTGAGTGCTGCAGAGAGTGGCACCATGTAATAATGTCTCTCTGTTGCATTCTCGGGAGGGGCTGATGACTTGTCCCCAGAGGGCTGGTTCTTGACAGCTTGGGATCAAAGGAAGGGGGTTAAAATGGTGGGTATTACAGTGAGAGCTGATTTTTTTTTTACAGACAAATATTAAAAATGTATATGCTAGATTTGGCCTTTACATACACTATATTGCCAAAAAGTATTGGGACATCTGCCTTTACACGCACATGAACTTTAATGGCATCCCAGTCTTAGTCTATAGGGTTCAGTATTGAGTTGGCCCACCCTTTGCAGCTATAGCAGCTTCAACTCATCTGAGAAGGCTGTCCACAAGGTTGGGGAGTGTGTCTATGGGAATGTTTGACCATTCTTCCAGTAGCGCATTTGTGAAGTCAGGCACTGATGTCGGATGAGAAGGCCTGGCTCGCAGTCTCCACTCTAATTCATCCCAAAGGTGTTCTGTCGGGATGAGGTCAGGACTCTGTGCAGGCCAGCCAAGTTCCTCCACCCCAAACTCGCTCATCCATGTCTTTATGGACCTTGCTTTGTGCACTGGTGCACAGTCTTGTTGGTACAGGAAGAGGCCATCCCCAAACTGTTCCCACAAAGTTGGGAGCATGAAATTGTCCAAAATGTCTTGGTATGCTGGCGCCTTAAGAGTTCCCTTCCCTGAAACTAAGGGGCCAAGTCCCACCCCTGAAAAACAATCCCATACCATAATCCCCCTCCACCAAACTGTACACTTGGCACACTGCAGTCAGGCAAGTACTGTTCTCCTGGCAACTGCCAAACCAGATACATCCATCGGATTGCCAGACAGAGAAGTGTGATTTGTCACTCCAGAGAACACGCCTCCACTGCTCTAGAGTCTAGTGGCAGAGTGCTTTATGCCACTGCATCCGATGCTTTGCATTGCACTTGGTGATGTAAGGCTTGGATGCAGCTGCTCGGCCATGGAAACCCCTTCCATGAAGCTCTCTATGCTCTGTTAAGCTAATCTGAAGGCCACATTAAGTTTGGAGGTCTTTAGCTATTGACTCTGCAGACAGTTGGTGACTTCTGTGCACTGTTTGGCTCAGCATTCGCTGATCCCGCTCTGTCATTTTACATGGCCTACCACTTCGTGGCTGAGTTGCTGTTGTTCCCAGTTGCTTCCACTTCTTCATAATATCACCAACAGTTGACCATGAAATATTTAGTAGCAAGGAAATTTCATGGATGGATATAGTGCCCAGGTGGAAACCTATCACAGTACCACGATTGAATTCACTGAGCTCCTTAGAGCGACCCATTCTTTCACAAATGTTTGCGGAAGCAGTCTGCATACCTAGGTGCTTGATTTTATACACCTGTGGCTATGGAGTTTGGAGTTTGGAACACCTGAATCCAATGATTTGGAGGGGTGCCCCAACATTCAGTTGTATTACCAAATGTCTAAAGTGTATGCAGAGGAAAAATGTTTTTTTTCTTAGTTTTAGAGTGGGGAAGGGTTAGAAACTCCTGTCAAGTTTGTATTCCTGTTCATGTCCTTATTCAGTAGATTTCTCATCTCTATTTGTCCTACCGACCATTGTTACTGAGCCAGAAAGTGATGGTAAATCCAATATTTTAGAGAGGTGCGGGGAATTCTTCCAATAGGGACACCATTTGAATAACTGTCTGCAGTGTCCACGTATTGGCAGCTCCCAAGTCTGCAGCTTTATGCTTATGTCATTTAAGGTAGAGTGCAATAACAGATTGTATACTGTTGATTACTTGACAGTGGCAGAATTTCCAAATATTTTTAAGTTTTACTTTTCTCTGCAACACCACAGTCTTGCTTCATGATACAGATTTAGTTTGTCTTTAGTAATATGGCTAGACAACTTGAAGTAAGAAGAAGATTTGGATTTTTGTTTTAGGTGAATATGTCTCATACTTAATGCCTTATTATCAGAGCTGCTGCAGTTTTATTGATGTAATAGTGCTGAACTAGCAGCCATGGAGAATAGGCTCAGCACTAAAGCTACAACATGTTCTAGATATTGTCCATTGTCATTTTACCTCTTTATGAAGTGAAAGCTTTGCATAATATGATATAACAAAGGTTCATTTCTCCTTCTCATTAAACTTGTAAATGTCCTTTTCTCTTTCAGCCTGCCATTGTTAGTGGACAGGGTATAAGTTGCTAATTAAATAAAAGACTTATTTAGAGTTGGCTTACAAGTATGCCTGCAAATGGATAGAACACAAGACATTCACTTTATACAGCACAGTATTAATTGTGATATCCAATCTTAGAGTGGGCTGTTTTGATCGCGGAAGAATGGGCTGACCTTTTATTAATCTAATCGAACAGGAATATTGTGGATTGCAGTGTAATCATTGTATTACTATTTTGACATATATATATATATATATATATATATATATATATATATCTTTATATGAAAATGAATACATTTTGCTACTGCTCGTTTGCACAGTTCCTGTTTATTTGCTGAAGCCAATTAAAACAACATGATTCAAATACAAAATAAGAAGATGGTCACCTTTTAATTAGAGTATACCTGTAATGGATATTCCCCAGGGTACTAATTGTAATTCAACACAAATGGAGCATATCTGCTTTTTTATTACTTCTTGTGGCATCAGAGTTGATGTGGGTTGAACGTCGGAAATTGTTGATTTGTCATTTGCAGTACTTCTAGAACCCATATTTAATTACATTGACAAGTAGTAGAAAGATTGCTAACTAATAAATATGCATTTGTGGAAACTTTCCAATCCCCCAAATAAAATACAGTGGCTATTGTTTACTTACTAAGCCCTTTTACTATGTAACATTGTGAAGTTGATTTACTAAAACTGGAGAGTGCAAAAGCTGGTGCAGCTCTGCATACAAACCAATCAACTTCCAGTTTTTTTTTTTGTCAAAACTTATTTGAACAAGCTGAAGTTAGAAGCTGATTGGCTTCCAGACTTTCCACACTCCAGTGAATCAACTCCTTTGCGTCATAACCTATTGTGTCCAAGTACATTCTCCAAAGTCTGATGCAACCTATTGATTAAAGTGGTAGTACACTCTTTTTTTTATACTTTTACCTACAGGTAAGCTTATAATAAAGCTTGCTTATAGGTAAAATGAATATCTCCTAAACATGCACCGTTTAGGAGATATTCACTCTTTTTGAGAGCCAGCGAATGCGCTCTGAAAGGAACGGCATACCCATGCCATTTCTTCTGAGGTCTGTGCTGTGGCCTGGGACTCCTGTGTGTGCGGGAGTAAAGTCATCGCGGCTCAGTCAGATGGACGGCACACGGAAACCTGGGAGGAAGACCGAGTGAAGATGGAAGCCCAGTCAGCGGTGACAGCGCCCTGCTGGATGGCTTCGTTTTAAGGTAAGTCCTTCATAATGTGTTAGTATGCAATGCATCATAGCACATTATGACATTACCTTGCAGGGGAATTCTTTTTTTGTTAAGATGTAGTTTACTACCATTTCAAAGTTTATGTGGCCCAAAACTTTCTAATTTTGCTTTTGTATAGAGTGATAAGCCATACAAACCTCTGCCAGGTTTATTTTGCTGTCTGTGCCCTTGTTAGGTACAGTCACCTTCTCTGTTGGTTCTGCTGTCTCGGACACAGAAAGTGATGGGAAATCAAGAATTTTTGAGTTGTCTCTATAAAAGAAAGGAAGAGTATATCTTCCATTGGGTGAATGTTCCCGATGGGATGCAGACATCAAAAACTAAGATTTTGACTTTTGATACACGTTACCTCTGTATTCAACAACACGCATTGAAACCCTCTGAAGCTTCTCTTCTTTGAACTTGGCTCCTAATTATTTACCTGATACATTTAGTGCAGCAATACTTTGTATGTGGGTGATGATGGGGTATTGTGTAGCAGCTTTTGGGATCAGGTAGTTGGGAATAATGCTCTGTAATTTTTTTGTTTTCCAAAGTAAAAGTAAGTAATACAAATCTACTTGTGGAGAAATAAATGAGAAATAATAACATAGTGTAAGCTCTTAAAAAAGGTTGTCAGTTGAACTCCTAAACAAAAAAGACTTTGTGGTGTAAAGGAGCTGTCAGTAATGGACTCGCCAATGGTGGTGGGACTCACCTGCCTTGTGGGCTGCAGTACCAAGGCTGGCCAGCGGGTGCTCTCAGCAGCCAGAATCTCACTCCTGCAATCAGGCCATCACCTGAGGCTGATTGCAGGAGGTGTATTTAAGCAGGACCAGGCCTGTGATCAGTGCCTTGGTGTTGTTTCCCATGAGCCAATGTACCTTGTATCCTGTGTTCCAGTTCCTCTGACTATCTGATTTGTTGCTGACCCTGCCTGATCCTGACCTCTGCTGACTTCTCCTGCTCTGACTCCTGGCTCGTCCCTGACTATTCTTCTGCCTACTCCTATGCTGTTTGACCTCCTGTTGCTGTACCTTGGCTCGTGACCCGTTTACTCTTTGCCTGCTGCTTTGTACTGATCTGCCTCCACCGTTACCGACCCGGCTTGTCTGACTACGCTAGACTCCATACTGTCATCCATCCATCCCGCACGGATCCAGTCACTACTGTCCGAACCTGCCAGCCCCTTCACATCAGGTTTTCCCCCGGTACATGCCCTCAGCAGACCCCTCTACCACAGTTGGGTGCACTCAGGGGCCGCGACCTGGTCTCAGTCCTGCGCCAAGTCCATCCCCACCATCGGGCTCTGGTGAAAAGGCAGACTGGGGCTTAGACTCCGCGCTCTGGGGAATCCTGTTCTGTGGGTCACTAGAGATCCCGCCGGGTGGTGCCTGACAGTACCTTACGGCCTGCCTGACCATTCCACCTCTCCAGCCTGACTACGCCTGTGTTCCAGAAGCCTGCTGTTTCCCTGTGTCAGTCCACACATCTCTGGTCATACCCGGATCCCTGACAGGAGCATTCTATCAAAAACTTACATGATTTTAGCTATGTGTCCATGCATATGGGATGAATTGGCCACTAGTTTCTTATATTTCCAAAGGACCCAGTAGTTTCCAGTTCTAATCATATAGTATGAAGCCTGCTTTCATAATGGGACTAATTCTTCTTATTAATTTTTGTATAGCGTATGGTTAATAGAAAAAAATCAATTGGGGACATTGAGCCCCCATTTTAATGGCTACAGCAGGAAAGAATAGATGAAAATCAGTTTTCTGTAAAATAATCAATGTTGCAGTAACTAAGATCAGCTTAGAACAGTGTTTTTCTTAAAACTTGAGTTGGAACTCAAGTTGAGTCAAGGACTTGTTTTGGATGGGTCACCACTGGACTTTGTGTTCAACAAGCAGATCATTGAGTGATAGCTAGAGTATGTGCACAGTAGAGGTAGAAGGCAGTTACACAGACAAGATTATGAGTTGAAGAGGTCAATGCTGGTTGGAAATGTCTGCTACTAAAAAAAATTACAGTAAATATTTAATTTTTTCTAGCTTTACTAAAGCATGCATTATTGCAAAAGAGGGAGCCTATAATGTGTTCTTTATTGTATGTCCATTGTTATTTGACTTTGTATGGCTTTTCTGCCATCTTGGTATCACTTCTTAGGTCCCAGCATGGTAACAATATATTTATTTGGGTCTTTTGATTTAAAATTGTAGGAACCCCTGGCTTAGATGATCTGTAATTATTGTTCATTTGTATAGGAGATTGCGTTGTTTATAAAAATGCTATGACATCCGGAATTGTCCCACTTATTGTAATTAAGAATGTTTAAGTAGACAGTTGTTTTAAATGAACATAAGAACATTTTCATTTTACTTGATTTCAAAATTCACAGTAAAAGGGAAATTAAAGCACATCTAACCCAATCACTAAAATATCATATAAGCTTTAACAAGTTAATGTAAGTTAAGTTGTTTTCTATCTTTTTAATACTATTGCTTTCATTAAGGAAATACAAGGTGATCCTTCCATAAAGGTCCCTGTTAAGGCACATCTTGGTGGCAACTGTCTCACAATTGTGCTTCTGCATTGTCATCCTGTTACATGCGCTCCCGATGGAGACTACAAGCTGCCTTGCTGACACACATTCTGCAAACATGGTCCAATGTTGTCACTATCAAGAATCTTGCCCTAAGAAATCATGTGCAACATTTGCTGGAAAGCACAGACAATTGCTTTAAAGGGTTAGAATAGATCAGAAGCCCTGAAATGCACAGAAGGATGGAAAAAAGGTGAATAAAGTATTTTATGTGGCAGTTACCGTTATTTATGTTGAAAGGCACTTTTAGTAAGCTAAATATTATCCAAAAAGCATGTACATTCTATTTTAACAGTAAAATGACCAGCAGTCTATAAAGTGTATTTAATAGGTGTGTACTTGTCGCTCCAGCGT